AAGACTCAGGCAGAAGTGTCTGCAGAGACCCTTGCACCATGCACCAGAGAGGTAACTCCGTGCAGGCTGCTGCGTACCCTTCTACACTCCACTTACCCACCCTAGTGGCACCACCAGCAGAGGCAAGGGGTCCTCCAGCTACCATCTCCTCAGTGTCCCTGTCTATCATCTGCCTCTTTTTTTTTTTTTTTGAGTCGGGGTCTCACTCTGTCACCCAGGCTGGAGTGCAGTGGCACAGTCATGGTTCACCACAACCTTAACCTCCTGAACTCAGGTGATCCTCCTGTCTCAGCCTCCCAAGTACCTGGAACTATAGGGGTGCGCCACCACACCTGGCTACTTTTTTGATTATTTTGTAGAGATGGCATCTCGCTATGTTGCCCAGCCTGTGCCTCTTTGGGGCACTACTTCTTCTTGGGGAGGGGGGTGAAGCTTAGCACCCCTCTTCCAGCTGCCCCCCACTGCATGGCTGACAGCCTCCTGTCCATTTCTAGGCCCAGTCTTGTCTTATAACTTCAGCATTCAGGGTGCTGGGCCCCTTTGCTTCTTATCTAGATTCAGTCTTCTCTCTGCATCAGCTCTGAAACATCATGGCCTCCATCCTCCCAGACTCAACTCAGGGGGACACATCCCTCCTCTCCTGCCTGTGGCTCTGCCTCTCAGTGCCCCCTGTGCCCCTTCCCATGGTTCCTGTGTGCAGCCCTCTGGGCTCTCAGGCTCTCCACAGCGTCTCATCCCCCTGCCCTTTCCCGCCACTCCGACATCCCCTCCTGTTTCACACTTCTCCTCCACCTATCAGAAGAAGGAGGCCTCCAGGCCCCTGTGGATCCTTTCTAGCCTGCATGGGCTGTCACAGCAGCACTCCCCTCTCTGGCCTGGCAACAACCCCTCTCCACGTGATCCTTCCGGCTCCTCCTCGCTTCTGACTCCTGACCACCCCTGCCTTCCCTGGAGCCTGTTCCTGTCCTGACAATTCTGTCCTTGGCTTCTCCCGTCTCCGAACCTATCCTTGGCTGGCGAGAGCCCACATGAGGATGCCACTCAGGCCCACTGCCCACTGGAACAAGCTTCTCCTCCCCAGAGCCTGGGGCAGAGAGTGGGGGAAGAAGCTGCTTGTGTTTCATTAATTTGTTTTGGGAAGTGGGAGCCAAGGGTTGTGTGACACCCACCAAGGAATGCAAATTGACTCTTATGCAAAGGTAATTTGAAAATGCACCTTCAGGGCTTTGGAAAAGTCCCACCGCTGTATGAACTCCTCCTCCCCTGTCAACATCACTGATAGATCACTGCCCCCCTCACCTGCCCTGGACTGCCTCTGCCTCCTGTCTCACACTGACTCACTATGCACATGAAGCGCATTCCCCCTCTTCTCCCAGGTGTGAATTCATGTGGCGAGAAACTGTCTCTTTATGGGGGGCTCTCCTGTGAATCCTGAAGTCATACTGGCCTTTTGTCAGCACTAGCAGGTCTGCACTTCTGCTTAAGTCATAGGCTCTGGAGACAGGTGACCTGCATATGCTGCCACAATGCTCCAGGAAGCTTCGAGACCAGTCTCTGTGGCTGCCATTGGCCACCAGGTCTCCTCTGGTGACAAGACCCCACGGCTCCTCCTAGCGGCCCTGCCGATGGCCGGCCCCCAGTGCCTTGTGCTCTGAGCATCAGGGCTGCCAACCACCTTTCCTGTGCTGGGGTTTCCTCCCGTGACCCACAGTCGGCTTCGTGATGGGACCTCCCTGAAGCCTTCCTTGCTGTCTTTTGATGCTCTGCTCCTTAGCTTCCTCCCTACCTTGAACTCCTGGCCCAGCCACCCCTGGCTTGTCCACCCTCTCCCAAGAGCCCAGCAACAGCAACACTCCACATGGTCTCTGCTTCCCTCTACCACGCGGGTCTAGAGCCCGGGCTCTTCCCTGGCCTCAATTGGTAAGAGATCTCTGATCACCTGCTGACCCTTCCTTGGAACTTGGGGCTGGCAAACCCTCTGGTTTCCAGAAGGGAGAGCCAGGGGCTGCCGTGTTCTCCAGGAAACTGCGGCTCTGGAGGTCCGCCCTGGTGCTAACACTGTCCCTCTCACGTGGCAGAGGACACTAGTATCTACGAGGAGGTACAACTCACCTGAGGGGCCCCCAGCTAGCATGCAACAGAGCTGCCATCCCCCGGTCGGGCTGGCCCTGCAGCCTCACCCTGCACCTCTGCAGCATATATGAAGGCCATTCCCCAACAAGGCCATGAGCACACCGCTCTCCTATGTAGCCTGCGGCGGGAGGAAGTGAGGAAGTGTGCTGCCTTGGGGGAGAGCCGGTAGTGCAGGGGTTGCCCTCCACAGGCACCTGAGGGATCTGCAGCCCCAGTAGGAGTGGGCCTGGGCTGCAGTGGGCACCACCAGCTGTGGGCTGGGCTCTGGGGAGAGGCTGGGGAGAATAAAAGGCAGGTTCATTCCCTGCAGGATCATCAGGAAGTGGGAGTCACATAGACATAGTCCCCGGGCAGATTCTAAACTCCTCAAAGCCTGTGCCTTTTGGCTTTCAACTTGCCTCTGGGCTGGGCAGGTTTTCAGTATACTAGGCTGTACCCAGGAGATTATTTACTTATTTATTTAGAGTCGGGGACTCACTTTGTCGCCCAGGCTAGAGGGCAGTGGCACGATCACAGCTCACCGCCATCTCAACCTCCTAAGATCAGGTGATCCTCTCATTTTGGCTTCCTAAGTGCTGTAGGTGTGCCCCACCGTGCCCGGCCCTCATGAGGCCATTACTGTGACTCCTTTCTTCCGGTAGGACCTCTGGAGCAGCGAACGTCTTTGGCTTGGTGAGGCTCAGCCAGTACCCATGGGTCAGTCAGGCAGGGCCTGCCACAGTGGTCCATCACCTGCTGGCCATACTGCACGGGCCCAGCTGCTTATTCCTTCCAGAAGGGGAACATGTGCATGTGTTGGAGTCTCAGGTGTCCCGGGCAGTTCTGAGGGTGAAACAGGAAACTTGCCCAGCACGATTTTCCTACTTGATCTCTCATCTCGTGTTCCCCGTGGAGATGAACAAGAAATTGACTCTGAATAATTCATGGGTTCCGAGGTCGAGACATGCTGCTTCTTTTAATAAAAAGGCTGGATGCACAGCGGTGATGAAACCTCTTCTGTGGTGCTTGTAGCACCACAGAAAAAACACAGAGATCTGAAAAGCTCTTTACAAACGCCTCTCATAGTTGTGAAACAAAAATGAAAAGCTACATAGTATTTTTAATCAAACAAACTAATGCTTGGATAATATGTAAAATGATTTATAAACCTGTATGGAGCCTCGGAACGCTCATAAAAAGAAATTTTAAAAAATTAAGTAGCTGTAATTATCATGAAGTCTGATTTATTTTTAAAACTGAAAATGACTGTCTTTGGTTTTCCATTTAATGAGCACCTCCTGGGCGCCAGAAACCCGCTAGGCTTGTTTTGTAAATCATTCAACTAGTTCTTGTGAAGTTCCACCACGGTAACAGCCCAATTCATAGACCCACCAAAGCCTTAGTGTTGAGTGACAAGCCCAGGGGCCCCTAGGACTGAGTTTGAACTCAGACCTGGTTTGTAGGTGCACAGCCCCCACACGGTGCCCAGCTCCCACTGTGTCAGCACCCTCTGCTGAAGACCAGGAGATGCTGCCTGGCCGTCTACACTCTGCAAGGTCACCACAAGAATGGTGAGGTGACCCTGGCTCTGGTCCCTCAAGAGCATCTCACATGTTGGTTACAAAACCTCATCCTCCCCATGCTGGACAGACATAACTGTCAGGTCAGATGCCTTCATTCTGCAGAAAGGAGAATGCGGAGCACTCAAGGCTTTCCCAAGGTCAAAGGGTCATGAGTGACATCATGTGGACCAGCAGTGTGTCCTTGACGCCCCATTGAGGGCTGACCATCCCCTGGCACTCCTGTCTGACTGTGGCGTGGAGTCAAGTGATGCTGGGTAGATCAGCGCTCTGTCACCGACACCCTAATCCAGGGCTGGCCTTCCCCTGTCACCTCCATCTTGATTGTGGTGCAGAGTGAGTGATGCCATGTGGACCAGCACTCTGTCCCTGACACCCTGACCGGGGCTGGACCTCCTCTGCCACCCGCATCTAACTGTGGCATGGAGTGAGTGACGTCATGTAAACCAACACTCTGTCCCCACGCCCCATCCAGGACTGGCCTGCTCCTGCCACCCCTGTCGGACAGTGGTGCGGAGTTCCCAGGGCTATGGCAGCAGGGCCCTCGGCGGCAAGACGAGGTTTTTCTTCTTGTGCATTGGATCAGAGATGTCCAATGCCAAGACAGTTGAAAGCTCAGGGCCATAGCCCAGGTGAGGCATCAAGGGCACAGGCGGGCCTCACTGGCTTAGTCTTACCTGCGTGGGCCTCCACTCGGACGCTTACAGACAGCTGCCGGGCAGGGGTTCTGGGCACCATCCTTGACACACATCTGAACAGTCAGAACCCCCTGAGTGACCGTCAGCCCCCATCTGACAGGCTCAGGCAGCTGTGGGCCCACCTGGGGCAGCAGGGCAACCCCAGGCTTCTGGCTGGGGCAGCCAGCAGAGGGTATGTGTGTCCCCAGAGCCACCTCGCCCACAGTGTGGGTGTGGGGTGACTTGTCTATGTCCTCTCTTGGTGTGAAGTGGACAACCCCTTCCTCTGGGAGAGGCCCCCTCCTGGCCAGTGGCCCCAGAGCCAAGCTGGAGTCTCAATGCTCTAGGGCAGGAGACTGCCCTGAGTGGATAGTGCCCTGACCCGGGGTGGGGGTACTCCGAGGTGTACTCCGAGGGGTGGGGGTACTCCGAGGTGACCATGACGGCACCTAGGGCCCCAGGAATGTCTTCCCCAGGCCCGGGGCCACAGTGACTTAGACTGCTGGCCCAGGACCTCGGGGACAGCTGAGTCAGGCACTGCCAGTCAGGGCGCCCAGAGCCACGGTGGGAACGGCGCTCACCAGCTTCACACGGCGTCAGCGGATGAGCCCGCTTGCAGCCCAGCACTCACCAGGCGCTGCATGCTCTTCACGTGGGTGGGGCTGATGGACAAGGCCTCCTCGTACCACCGCCGCGCCTCATCGATGTTCCCTCGGAGCTCGGCAACCTGCCCGCGCATGTAGAGGACGTTGTGGGACATCGGGAAGAGGTTGGCAGCTTCCTGGGTGCAGGCGGTGGCCTCTGCAGGCTTCCCGATGCCAATGTAGACCTCAGCTGGGGGCAGAAAGCACAGGCGTTGGGGCTTGGCCTTGGCTGCCCTGGCCCAGATGGTGGTGTCCCCGGGAGTCCTGCAGGGTGTGGCCCATGCCTGCCCTGAGTGTGAGTGGCTGCATGCCGCAGTCCCCACGTCCTCCCACATAAGGACTCCAGTGCTGTGGCTTCCGCATTGACGGGCTCCCCAATGAGATGGCTGTTCCATCAGGACCTCCCTCCTGGGCCAGGGCAAGGTCCCATACCCTAGAGCTCCTAGACTGTGTCACACCAACAAAGCCCTCGAACAAGCCAAACTGCCACCTTCCAAACAGCGTGACTCTCCACTGAGCCAGGTCCTCCTCACCTCCACGTAAGCCAGAGCCTCACGCAGCCTGGCCTCCTGATGAGCCCTTCACAGGTGTTCAGGTCCGACTCCCTGCGCCTCCCTGCCTCCCTGCCTCCCGGGATGTAGACCTCATTGTGCCCTCAGGCCCTTTCTTCCCAGGGCATAGCTCCACCTCTACGCCACCGTCACCCAGTCATCTTGGATAAGGACATCGGAGGTTCCTGCCCCTGCAGGCCTTGCTCTGGGCTGTGGCGGGGCCTGGACCCACTGATCTCCCTGCCACTGCTGCCTGACCACTGGCCTCCCCAGCGGTAACTACATGTATGTCTGTGTGGATTAGTAAATCCTGTACAACACAACACACACCAGCACACGAGAACAGAAACGTCCAAGGACACAGAAGTGAAACACAAGGGTTCCTTTACCCACCACACCTTCACCCCTCCCCCCATCTCCCAGCCACTCTGGAAGCTACCTGGATGTCCCAGGCCACCCTTCTGCCTCCTGCTGAGGGCCACAGTTGTCACAGATCAACCCAAAACCATGCCCTGGGTGACACCCCTGCCCAGAAGTCCTCCTACCTGAAGCCCACAGTGTCCATCCTGTCCAGTGGGCAGGTGGGATGGGCTCCCTTCCCCCCATCCCCCCAGGAGCCACTGGTCCAGCCCACCTGGCCCCAGCCCTCCCGTCCCCCTCAGTTCTCCTATGCACGCTGTTCTTGTCTCCCTGTGCACCCACACCAGAGTGGAGGCTGTCGCCACGTGAGGCAGGGCTGGGGTCTGTGTTGCCTGCGCCATGCCCCGGGAGCTCAGCTCAACATTGCTGACTGGAAAAACGGTGACAGCAACAATTACAGTAGCCAACATTGACTGGACATGCTGCAAGGTGGTCCAACAGGCACTATTATTTGATCCCATTGTCCAGATGAGGAAACTTAGGCACAGAGAGGCTGAGCAAGCTCAAGCTACAGCTGGAGGCAGAGCCAGGATCAGAATCCTGGTGTCTGGTTCGGAGCCTGTGCCCTCAGCCCCCACAGAGGACAGTGTCTCCTTCACCCCAAATGACATCTAGCACCTCTGTAGGCATTCAGAGCCAGGCATGCTACCCTGCTTCCTTGTGACCATCCCACCGTCTTCCCATGCCCCTGGATCTGCGTCCATGTGCACCGTGTGTGGGTGTTGCCGCCTCTGCCCCTAATGCCATCACCAGCCTCCTTTAAGGTCCAGGTGGCTGCTACCATCCCGGAAGCTCCTGATTGCTTGCTTGGCTGAGAGGGTGTGGCCTCTGCAGTTCCTGTTGCCCGGGCCCCGGGTTTCTGTGAGGGTCCATCTGGGCCAGTATGCCCCGATGGCAGCTGCTGCACACACCTGTCTTTCCGACCCCACCTTGGGCTTTGAGCCTGGGCACTGGAGAGGGGCTGGCATATCTCATGGTGGTAGGCAGTGGACACTGCTGGCTTCCTGACCTCAGTCACCAGGTTAGCCTCTCCTTGGGCCACTCACTCCCTGGGGATCGAATTCACACTGACAGACTCCCCAGGCCTAGACTCCCAGTCCTCCCCCGGCATCCATCCCTTGGCTGACAAGATTCTTCATTCAGAGAAGCCAGAACCTCCCTGGCTGACCTCGAGCCTCTTCTGGTCATCAAACCGCCAAGCCCATCAACATTCGCTGTGCCTGTCCACTGTCCCACGTCCCTTCTGCTGCCTGAGGCCCAAGTTCCCTGTTCCCTGCCCCACGCTGGCACCCTAGGTGCCATCTTCCTGCTCCTGGAGGAACTTGCCCTCCACATATGCCCTCTCCCTCTTGAGACCTCTCCTCAAAGTCTCATCACTGGATTGTCCCCATTGGCAATCAACACGCACCAACATGCTCTGACACACTCCAATACGCTGAGACCCATCCTCGGTCCCGCATGCCTTCCCAGTGACCCCTCATTTCCTCTTGTGAGGATGGTGTTCCCACTCTGCCTCAACTTCCTCACCTGCCCCTCGCTCTGCAAGCCATGCCAGATGGCCACCATGCCACCACATGGTCTCATCACGGCTCTCACAAAGGCTCTGTCCACCATACCCACCTGTCAGCGTTTCCGGCCGCATGTCCTCCTTGAAGACTATGACTTTAGCAGCTAGGGGCTTGCTGCCTCATCTTGCACGGGAGAACATGACGGCTGAGTGGGACTGGAAACACCCAGCCCAGGGCCCTGGCTCCTGCACAGCAGGGCAGGGTTGCACCTGAGTCTACCTACCGCCAAGCTCTCACTATGCTGCACCGGCCCCTCTGGCAGCCCTCACTGCCTTGATGCTGACTGTCCCTGACAGCTGGCTGCATGTGGGGGCTCCAGCGTCTGCCTGGCCTCCACCTGGCTTCTGCCCTGCCTTCCCCTTCTCCCTCTCCCCTGCTTCTTCTCTCTTACCTCAGACCCTGGCACTGGGTTTAGTTCCAACCCCTGAATTCCTGTTTCCAGCCTGAATATGAATGCGGGCTGCTGGCGTCCGGACTGCAAGTCCTCGGGCTCCCAACACTGCCAAGCTCAACAGGACTCTGGGTCTCTTCTCTATTACCTGCTTACAAAAGTCCATTTCCAGCCTGACTTGGCTTCACACCACACAACAAATGAAGAAGGGAACCTAAGTATTTTGTGGGCCTGCAAAGCCATCTCTTGGGGACTCCCAGACTCTAGGAATGTGTGAGACACCTGCCTACCCTCCCTGAAGTCACATGTAGGTTTCATCTGCAAATCAACACCCTTTATCTCAGCAAAGCATTCTCCTGATCTCCAAAACCCCTTAATTAGGGACTACAAATCATCAATCAAGAATCTTTGAATTCACCTATGACCTGCAAGCCCCACTTGGGAATGTCGCTCTTTCCTGGGCCAAACCAGTGAATATCCACACGTATTGACTTATGGTTTCCTGTAACTTCTGCCTCCCAAAAATGTTTATAACTGAGTCACCATTCGGCCACCGTGGGTACATGTCCTCCGGGCCTCCTTGGGGATGGGTATCACGGGCCTGGGTCCTCAAGTTTGGTTCAGAATAAACCATCTTAAATATTTCAGTTTGGCATCTTTTCATCCACCTTGAAGCCGCCCAGCCTCCACGTCCTCCGTTCCATGAAGACTGCAGACCCGCACCCCCGCTGCCTGGACTGACACTCTTGACTTCCTGCTTCGCCAGCTTCCAACTCGCTGCTTTCCATCCCAGTTTCCACAATTAGTTGGAGTGACTTTTAAAATTTTTCTTTAGAGGCAGAGTCTTGCTCTATTGCCCAGACTGGCCTCAAACTTCTGGGCTCAAACGATCCTCCTGCCTTGGCCTCCCCAAGTGCTAAGATTTGGGTGTGAGCCACCGCATGTGCCCACTTCTTTAGAATATAGACCTTGTGTTGGCCACCAGAGGTTCACTCATCCACAAGGTTGAGAGCTGACCTAGGGCCTGTCCCAGCCCAGCAACTTCCTGGTGCCCATCCTTCCGCCTCCATGCTGGCAACAATTCTGCGGGAAGTGGTTAATGTCTGGTTGTTACTGACTAATAATTACAGCTTTTGCTCCGGTGCCTCGCAGTGGAAGCCAGCGGCTATTCTTAGATCTGCAAGATTAGATTTTCTGGTTTCTGCTGGGAATTTAAAGCCGTGACACTCACAGATTCCTTGACCCTGGCAGGCCTGTCCCCTGTCCCTCTGCCTCCCAGACTCTTCCTGGGCTCTGAGGTTGTATCAGCAGGGTTGAGGGGTCATCTTATAGCATCACCCCATCCAAGACCAGATGATGACAGCTCCCGGACAGGTGGCACATGGGTCACCACACAGGGCGCCCATGAGGGAACGCGCAGTCCTGGGGTCGGGCCTGCCCAGCTGATGTCTGCCAAGTCCTATGCGTGTGTCATATGTTATTCAGGGACTTCACACGTCTCCATTTGTTGAGTCCTGACAACAACTCTATAAATACCTGTGTTCACCCCATTTTGCAGATGAAGAAACTGGCTCAGCTAAGGGTACATAGCTGTGAGTTGAGAAGCCAGAATTCAGAGCCAGCTGTGTGGCCCTGACCGGTGGTCCCAGCCCACGGCAGCACTCAGCTGTCAGTCTGGCATCTCAGGGCCTCTTTTATGCATGGTGGGAGCAAGGCCAGAAGGAGAAAGAGCCCTGGAGTGCTCAGCTGGGTGCATGGCCTTTCACTTGCAGTATGATGGCACGCTTGCATCTAAAGGTAAACCAAAATTAGTCCGGCATGGTGATGTGTGCCAGTAATTCCAACACATTGGGAGGCCAAGGTCAGAGGATCACTTGAGCCCAAGAGGCCACATTGAGCCATGATTATGCCACTGCACTCCAGCCTAGGTCACTCAGGCCCTGACTCAAATACAATGATAATAATAAACGAAAGAAGCAGTGGATGGTTTCTAGGAGCTGTGTGGTGAGGCGCCATACCTCATGCACTAAGTGAGCTCGCTGTCCTCTGCTCTGTGAGACTGCAGAGGCTTCGCTTCCACCCTCTGCCCATAGAGGAAACAACCTCCTGATCTGCTTTATAAGGCAGTGTACATACAAATGGCACTAGAAGACACTTGGGACTTTCAGGAAAAAAGACCACAAAACCAGGTGGCTTCTTTCTAAATATCATGGGAAGCATGTGCTGTGAGGTTGACAGGTCATTTAAAAGAACAAACAAACTGGCAATCTCCCCACAAAACACAAAGAAAATAAAAATGGAAGAAGATATCTATAGCTCCTTCCTCAGATACAAGGTGAATTTCTCTGAAATGTAATAGATGCTTACAAATAAAAAAGAAATGCAAAGTAGTCAAGAAGGGGAGCTGGCAGAAGCTATGGACAGAGCCGGAAGACCACACTCCACCTGTCACATAAGCCGAGAGTAGGGGGGCCATGAGGGTCAGCATGCTGGGAGGATGTGAGGAAGTGACGTTTGTGATGACAGTGTGAACTCGCACAATCCTGTGGGAGGCAATGCAATGATACTTACCAGAATCAAAGCATATACACCCCTGACCCACCAGTTCCATTTTGTGGAATTTGTCTCACAGATATGCAACAAGACAGACTCATCCCAATATCCACAGGGGAACTGGCTCCAGGACCCCCTGCAGATGCCATGTCTCTGATATAAAACGATGTAGCATTTGCATATAACCTACAAAACGTTCCTGCATGGTTTTTTTTTTGAGTTGGAGTCTCACTCTATCGCCCAGACTGGAGTACAGTGGCCGCTCCCGGCCACTGCAGCCTCGACCTGCTGGGCTCTGGTAATCCTTCTGCCTCAGTCTTCCAAGTAGCTGGAACTACAGACATGCACCACCACACCTGGCTAATTTTTGATTAATTGTAGAGATGAGGTCTTGCCAAGTTGGCCAGGCGGGTCTCGAACCTGCGGGCTCGGGCAATCCACTCACCTTGGCCTTCCAAAGCGCTGGGATTACAGGCTGAGCCACCGAGCCTGGCCCGCTCCTGCATGTTTTAAACCATCTCTTGACTACTTATAATACTGCATACAATGTCAGTGCTATGTAAATAGTTGCTATACTGCATAGTTTAGGGAATAATAACAAGAAAAAAAAGTCTGCACATAATCAGCACAGACACCATTTTTCTCTGCATAGTTTTCATCTGTGGTTGGTTAAATCCACGGGTGTGGAGCCTGGGCATGTGGTAGAGGCCGGATGCATGGGACACTGACAGGTGCATCATCTACAATGGCAAAGCCCAAGAAACAATCTGACCATCCAGGAGTGTTGGCCACGTGGCGGCGCAGCCACACCAGGGAGTGACACTGCGGCTGTCATGAAGCTACTGTGGCCTCCCATGTGCTGGCCTGCCTTATCTCCAAGACGGTGCATTACAAGGGAGGTGGGGACTGAGCATGGCACGTGAGATCTCTGGGGGACGCACAGAACTGTGATCTCCCATGGAGAGTGGTGGATGCTCAGGAGAGGAAGGAGCCTGTCCGTGCTATGGCTTTTCCGCTTTCCCAGTAGGTACCATGGGTGTATCTTTATCTGAAAATAATTTAAATCGAATTGTGACACAGATGCAAGCAGATCAAGGAGCAAGATACATACAGCCCACACAGAGCCGATACCGGGTGTCCCGGCAAGAGTCAGGCACTGGGGTCGGTGGTATCCAGGACAGGAGAAGAGGGTGTGGAGGAAAAGAGGCCCTTCTGTGGTCGCAGTGCCAGTGTCCTGGGTCTGTGCCCCAGCCAGGCATCCTTCTCATTATCTCCTGGCCATTCAAAGACACACATGAGTGGCCAAGAGATGGTCACACAACAGGCTGGGACTCTAGGGTTGCCTCAGGGGGGCCTCTGTCAGCCTGGAATCTGAGGCTGCCTCTACCACAGGATCTCATCCCCACCCACAGCTTTGGGTGTTGCACCCTGATCGAGCTAATTTATTCTGAAGCTTACAAAATGTGCAGAGTCTGGCAGGACGGCCAGAGCTGACGGATGCAGGAAGCTGATGTTACCTGCTTCCATGAATTGTCAAGACACAGTCAGCTGCATTCCGCCTCTCAGAGCAGCAGGATTCAAGCCACATATGGTAAAGCCTAACAGTGAGCGGAAGCTGTCAGATTTCTTCTCAAGCGACCTCTTTCAAGTCAGTGAATAAATATAGGGCTTTAAACCTAGGCTCAGAGTCATATGGCATGGATTCTAGAAGGATTCTGGTCAACTCCACTCACCCCTACCGCGTGTAGTGCTCACTAGATGCACACGGCACATCTGCCTGGGGGCTAGAGGGCAGCAGTTCCACGGCCTTGTGGAAGGTCAGGCCATGCCCCTCCATCAGCCACAGAACCTGACTCTGTCCTCTGGGCTGTGGCAATGAGAAACGGATCTTACGTGATGATATCAACATCAAGGACAGCTCCAGGCTGGGTCCGAGCCGTCCAGTCCTTCAATGTTCTAACAAGTGGCTCTGAAGTTTCCTGCCCAAGAGTCATGGCAGGCTTCGCAGGAGGGCCAAGTTCCCACATCACTGAGTGGGCGGCAGCAGGACACCAGGCAAAGCTCTCCTGGGACCTGGTCACTGTGTTCCCCAAGAAATAAGCAAGCGAGCCCTGCCCATGAGAGGGCTGACTCTAGCCTGGAGCAGTGGCTTCAGCCCTTTGGGGCCTTTACACATGGCCTCTTAAGAACTCAACTTCAATTTTGAAACTTTAAGTTGGAAGGCAACCCTTCCTACACCAGCCTGCAAATTCGGCCAGGCTCATCTGGCCTGGACACTAAACCCTGCTGCTCTCTGTTCATGGGTGACCAGACAGGACAGGTGTAGGATGACTGAGCTTTCTGCAGGGGAGCCGGGAGGAGGCACGGCTGCTGCTCCCTGGCCCTCAGCCAGTGTGTCTGGGCCTCTCTGGGACAGAGGCTGGACACTGTAGGCATTTGCAGTGAGGAAGAACTAACTACTGCATGACTATGAACCACCCACTTCTGAGCGTCGGCTTAGGAGGGTGTAATCTGTTATTTTACAGGACTTGCTATGGCTCCATTAGATGCCGAGCTGGGCTCCAAGACCTGCTGTGGCCTGGTGAGCCCAGCCGTTCACACACGAGGGCATGCCAGTGGTGTCCAACAAGGTAGGTACAACTGGTCATGAGCAAAGGAGTCACTAGCAGGATAGCTGATGAATGACAGGCACTCTGCCTGGCCAAACCTGGGCTTCCCCATGTACCCCAAGAGTCAGGACTGAGCAGGCCCAGGCAGGAAAAAGGAACTTGAGAAACGGAGCTGCCTTTCTGCAGTGTTATAAATACAGAGGATGCCAAGAAAATGTATACACATTTTAAGAAAAGAAAACACTATTAAAATGGTAATACTCAATATATACCGATAACAAAAGATGAAAACAAGTCATGTCTGACTTCTGCAATCATGAGAGGTACTCAAAGTGGTTCCCATCAGTATCTAGACACTTCTGACTTCAGCGAACATCTCTTAAAATGTACATACATTTTTGGCACCTCTGTACGTGAATATATCCACAGCCATCGCTTGCTGGAAAGCCCTGCATGGTGGGGTCCTCACTGCTCAAGTGCCTGTACCCTGGATCCATCTTGGGCCTTCCAGGCATTCAGAAGCCTTGCTGGGCTGGCTGAATGCCTGGGAGCCCCCTGGTCGGGGGCAGCCATACCTGCCCTTGGGCCAGTTTCCCAGTCAGAGGCAGCTACTGTCTGTGTCTCTCTTACTGGGTGACCAGGAGAGCCACAGAGGGGCAAGAGGGACACCAAACACATGGCACCATCCCTGGCTTTATAAAGATATGGTGTAATCAACACCTGTCCTTCTCCCAGTTGCCAAGACTTCATTGTGGAGATGTACCATGCGCTGTGCTCACCAGTCCAGGATAGGCGCTGCTCTGAACCCCGTACAGAGAGGAAACGGAGGCTGTGGTTAGAGTCTTCAACTCAAGACCACCCAACTGGTAAGCAGCAAGCCAGACTTCACCCCAAGGCACGTGGAGACAGTCTGGAGCCCTCCAGGCCCTTCACACAGACCCTGAACCCACACGGCAGCCCCCTGGAGTCTCCTCAGTTCCATCCGAAGTCCCTTCCCAGATCCTGCTCTGTGCTGGGGTACTGAGGCAGGGGAGGGGTGGGGGAGATGCAGAGGAACTCATGGTTCCTGCAAAGAATGGTACGCTGGTGGTGACTGCAGAAGCTCGGCACTTTCCTGATAAGGGACATCCTGCAGGGGCAGCGGATGGGGGCAGGGTGGTACCTGCGTGGAGCCAGATCTGTGCCAGTGTCATCCAGGGGTGCAGTGGGCCCTGCTTGGGGGCGCTGCTCTGCAGAGACGAGGCCACTTCCGACAGCGCCTGCTCTACTCGGGAGGCTGCCACTGATGTGGCATGGACAGAGCCTGTGGGAGGGCAAGAAGGCTGTGTCAGGAGAGAAGGGGCAGGCTGACCCACTGACCAACTGCCTACCCACTGACCCGCCCACA